TAGTGGTGTGGTATCTACTGGAGGTGAATTTATTGGTATTTGATGACGGGTTGTAATGGATATTGGGTTGCTGGGGTAGCGATGGTGCTTGGTAGACTGTCCCACACTGGGACTGTCCCACACTGGGACTGTCCCACACTGGGACTGTCCCACACTGGGACTGTCCCACACTGGGACTGCCCCACACTGGGACTGTCCCACACTGGGACTGTCCCACACTGGGACTGTCCCACACTGGGACTGTCCCACACTGGGACTGTCCCACACTGGGACTGCCCCACACTGGGACTGTCCCACACTGGGACTGCCCCACACTGGGACTGTCCCACACTGGGACTGTCCCACACTGGGACTGTCCCCACACTGGGACTGTCCCACACTGGGACTAAGATAGCGTGGCACACTAATGAGACTGGGAGGGAGGGACATTATCACTATGTTGGAAGGACCATAAAGTCACCACGTGAAGGGCGGGAAGCTCCCCTTAAGGCATACTTAAGGGGGACGTGTCAAGGGGGAGAGGGGCCTGGGAGATGTTAAGGGAGGGGGGGAGGGAAAGGGGGAAAGAAGAGAGAGAGGAGGAGATAAGGAGAGGGAGTGGGAGATGGAGAGAGAGAGAGAGAACTGGTTAAGGAGAGGAAGATGTAGAGGGAGGAGGAGGTGGAGAGAGAGAGAGAGAGAGAGAGAGAGAGAGAGAGAGAGAGAGAGAGAGAGAGAGAGAGAGAGAGAGAGAGAGAGAGAGAGAGAGAGAGAGAGAGAGAGAGAGAGAGAGAGGAGAGGCAGAGGAGGGAAAGTGGAGATACAGAATAAAATAGGGAGTGAGAGAGAAAAAAAAGGGGTGGGTGGGGGGTGCTGAACGCACCAAGAAGAGTAAGGTGTAGGTGAAAGTAGAGAAGGGTAGGTAGGAACAGGAGATGTATGAAGAAGAAAAGGGAGAATAACAACAGGGTAGATAAGTAAATATAGATACAAGGTAGAACGCGAGAGGAAAGAAACGAGAATAAGAAGTGAGAGATAACGAATATGGGTAAAGGGCGAGAAGGAAGAGGCAACCTATGGCAGGAGTCGAGTGAAAATAGGAAGAAATAGCTCTCCAGAGTCGGGAAGACGTCGAGGAAATTGGCCCCTCTAGGAACGGGAAATTGGCACTAGAAGGTGAACTTGGCCGTCCGGCAGTGAACGCTGCCATAGAGGACGCTGGCCGGAGGCGAGAGAGAGTGCCAGGTGCAGTTGACATGGGAGAAAAAGTGGCACCTCAGACGAAAAGCAATGTCACTATCGGTAAAGCTGAGCGGCACTGCTGTGAAGGGAGAGAGAGAGAAGTGACCTAACATTGATTATCGAACTTTAATTACGAGGAAGCGAAGTCTAGCACTTCTCGCCTCGCTTGCTGGCCTTGTTAAACCTCTTTCGCTCTAATTCAACTTTCCAGACCTTCGAATTCCTTGCTGAATCCGGCCATGAAAGTTATGGGGGAAGGAGGTGGCTCCCACGACTTCTGCCCTGTGTGTGAGTGTGTTGGCCACCTGCGCTGCCTGGTCAATATTTCTCACATTTCTTGGACTCATTTGCGCTTGCACCTGTGTCCTCTCGTCCGACTTTCTCTCAGGTTGATGATGATGATGATGATGATGATGATGATGGTGACGATGGTGATGAGAAGGAGGAGGAGGAGGAGAGTGGAGATTTCATTAGCCTCATTGCTTATTATTAACCACACAAGATTGACGCGTGATATCAGTTGTTGTAATGGAAACCTGTCCCCTTATTGTCCCAGTTATCTCCTGTCACTCACAGTTGTCCCCTGTCACTCACAGTTGTCCCCTGTCACTAACAGTTGTCCCCTGTCACTCACAGTTGTCCCCTGTCACTCACAGTTGTCCCCTGTCACCCACAGTTGTCCCCTGTCACCCACAGTTGTCCCCTGTCACTCACAGTTGTCCCCTGTCACTCACAGTTGTCCCCTGTCACCCACAGTTGTCCCCTGTCACTCACAGTTGTCCCCTGTCACCCACAGTTGTCCCCTGTCACCCACAGTTGTCCCCAGTCACTCACAGTTGTCCCCTGTCACTCACAGTTGTCCCCTGTCACTCACAGTTGTCCCCTGTCACCCACAGTTGTCCCCTGTCACCCACAGTTGTCCCCAGTCACTCACAGTTGTCCCCTGTCACTTACAGTTGTCCCCTGTCACCCACAGTTGTCCCCTGTCACTCACAGTTGTCCCCTGTCACTCACAGTTGTCCCCTGTCACTCACAGTTGTCTCCTGTCACTCACAGTTGTCCCCTGTCACTCACAGTTGTCCCCTGTCACCCACAGTTGTCCCCAGTCACTCACAGTTGTCACCTGTCACTAACAGTTGTCCCCTGTCACTCACAGTTGTCCCCTGTCACTAACAGTTGTCCCCTGTCACTCACAGTTGTCCCCCTGTCACTCACAGTTGTCCCCTGTCACTCACAGTTGTCCCCTGTCACTCACAGTTGTCCCCTGTCACTCACAGTTGTCCCCTGTCACTCACAGTTGTCCCCTGTCACCCACAGTTGTCCCCTGTTACTCACAGTTGTCCCCTGTCACTCACAGTTGTCACCTGTCACTAACAGTTGTCCCCTGTCACTCACAGTTGTCCCCTGTCACTCACAGTTGTCCCCTGTCACTCACAGTTGTCCCCCTGTCACTCACAGTTGTCCCCTGTCACTCACAGTTGTCCCCTGTCACTCACAGTTGTCCCCTGTCACTCACAGTTGTCCCCAGTCACTCACAGTTGTCCCCTGTCACTCACAGTTGTCCCCTGTCACTAACAGTTGTCCCCTGTCACTCACAGTTGTCCCCTGTCACTCACAGTTGTCCCCTGTCACTCACAGTTGTCCCCTGTCACTCACAGTTGTCCCCTGTCACTCACAGTTGTCCCCTGTCACTAACAGTTGTCCCCTGTCACTCACAGTTGTCCCCAGTCACTCACAGTTGTCCCCTGTCACTCACAGTTGTCCCCTGTCACTCACAGTTGTCCCCTGTCACTCACAGTTGTCCCCTGTCACTCACAGTTGTCCCCTGTCACTCACAGTTGTCCCGTGTCACTCACAGTTGTCACCTGTCACTCACAGTTGTCTCCTGGCACTCACAGTTGTCCCGTGTCACTCACAGTTGTCCCGTGTCACTCACAGTTGTCCTCTGTCACTCACAGTTGTCCTCTGAGAGAGAGAGAGAGAGAGAGAGAGAGAGGAGAGAGAGAGAGAGAGAGAGAGAGAGAGAGAGAGAGAGAGAGAGAGAGAGAGAGAGAGAGAGAGAGAGAGAGAGAGAGAGAGAGAGAGAGAGAGAGAGAGAGAGAGAGAGAGATTCAAAATAAAGTTAATCCGAGTGACTTACTGAAATACAAGAACAGGAAACGAGGAGAAAATTCCCAATAGAGCCATTTGTCGCCTTTCAAACATGATGTTAGGGTGAAGGGAGAAGCGGAGGTGGTGCGGGGAGGGGGAAGTTGGGGGGAATGGTGGAAATGAAGGGGAGGGGTGTGGGGTGAGGGAGGGGTGTTGGGTTGGGGGAGGGGGTGTGGGGAGGGGTGGAGGGGGGCGGTGTGGGTTGGGGGGAAGTTAACGGAGGAGGAGGAAGAGCTTCGTGTCCCTGTGCTGGTGTTGTTTATATGAAAATTTTTACTCTTTTATCCTGAGAGAGAGAGAGAGAGAGAGAGAGAGAGAGAGAGAGAGAGAGAGAGAGAGAGAGAGAGAGAGAGAGAGAGAGAGAGAGAGAGAGAGAGAGAGAGAGAGAGAGAGAGAGATATGGTAGGTGAACGTGTTAAAAATGAGCAGCCAATTACCAAAGAATTACAAACAATGACAAAGAAAACGGCACCGTTGGCTTTGCACAAATATTGTTAGAAGCAGATTTGAAGACAAGTATTTGTCTAGTTTATTTGTAAACTCATGTACGCATATTAACATATAAATATGTTAATATGCTTTGACATATTTTTCTCAATTAAGTCTAATCAACTATTTCTTTCAACTTGAAAATAAAAAAAAGTTATTCCGCGTTATTGAATTGAAATGTTGTAGATTACCTTTTAAAAAACAATTAATTATTACGCTGAGTTACACATTTTAATATGACAATTAATTAATATTACTCTCACGTCCTTTGATTTCTTTAAATGTTGATGTTCTTTGTCATTCACTTCTGAATAATTAAAAAGTTCTAAATATGTTTTATATAATATATCTTTAAGCTTGGGCATTATCATCATTATCACCTGGTATTATCACCTGGGTATTATCTTTGTTGCTCATCATTCCTCGGATGAACAATATCCTTCATGAAATCTGGTGACCTGAAACTGTACCCGATATACAGACGATGAGTCACAACAACGTGGCTGAAGTCTGTTGACCAGACCACACACTAGAAGGTGAAGGGACGACGACGTTTCGGTCCGTCCTGGACCATTCTCAAGTCAATTGTGAGAATGACTTGAGTCATTCTTGAATGAATGACACAATCGACTTGAGAATGATCCAGGACGGATCGAAACGTCGTATCCCTTCACTTTCTAGTGTGTGGTTTGGTTATCAATGTACTCAGTATTATAGGTCATAAATATTAGATGGTGACCACTGCTGCCAACACTATCAGGTAGACTCGTAACTTGTACCTCAGGCATTAGTTTCCGGTATTGAGGACAGGAAACATGTATGTGTTATTAAGACGCTCTCGCCCTATGGTCACATGGAAGACTTTGTGTCATTCTCTCAAGTTTTTCCTTCCTTTCCTTGTCACTTGAAACCCCCGAGTCTTGTCGCTGTCACCCCGCCACCCCACGTGTCCTACAAGTTGTCACCCGCCACCCACGTGTTCTACAAGTTGTCACCCGCCCCCCACGTGTCATACCACTGTCACCCGCCATCCAAATGTTCTACTAACGCGACCATAACATCATATAAACGACCAGCCAACATTCATCAAAGTTCATATACTTAATAATTAACATAACAGTGTGTTGGTTTTCTTCCAGATTATGTTGAAGGATGAAGACATGTTTCCCACACTCGCCATGGTCAACGACGATAGACTCTAGATTCTACAACCCCACAGTCGCCATGATCAACGACGATAGACTCTAAGAGTCTGGAGCCACTACAACAGACTCCAAAGAAAATAAAACACCTCCCCCTTCCCCCCAGATCCTAAACAACAACGGGAAACTGTTTATTGTGAGACTCGAACCCCCCCTGGGAAATGCAGCATAAATATCGTTGAAGACAAGGCCTACACCTGACCCCACCATGAACGAGATCACTCCAGAGATCTCCACCGACGACACTTCGCTGCCCACTTGCAGCGAGGAGTGCGAGGGGGGCGACTGCTCCGGCGTCCGGACTGACGGTAACAATGGGACTAGCAACGGCGAAAGCGGCGGGCGGACGCAGGCGGCGGTGCCTTCGTCGCTGCCGCTGGTGCCGCAGAAGAGCATGAAGCCGCATGCCAAGAACTGCTTCAGGCTGGTCATCCTCGGCTCCTCCAGGGTGGGAAAGACCTCCCTAGTCTCCAGGTGAGTAGCTCCAGGGTTTCCGTATTTCACGTTAGTTGATCGTATTCCAGGCGAGTCAGTTGTGTTCCAGTGCTTATTCTATACTCCAGTTGAGTAGTTCGCGCTCCAGGTGAGTCCTCACGGGACGTCCAGTGATTATTCATCGAATGCTTTTGCCCCAAAATTTATACCGGACAGTTAAAATAGATTAAGACCATTTTTTTAATGCATATGCAAAATGCAATTTACCACGTGAAGATTTGCAACGAATCAGGAAAGAAAACGCTGAAGTCCAAAACGGCACTGAAGTCAATACAGGAATTGACGAAGACGAAGCACTTTGACGAAGCACTTACACAACGCCCTCTACTGGAGACTTGCAGGAGGGGGGGCCGGCAGCTGGAGACACGTAAAACACCATTTAACTGTCTGCTCTTAGCCAGAGACTCTTGGAAGAAGCTGTCGCCTTCTTCACTACTCTCTAAGTAGTAGTGGGTCGCAAGTTAAAAGAAAAATCCCATCAGATACAAGTAGGTTAAAACAGGCGGGGCTTAAGAGCTTGACCTCGCTACTCCCGAAGTCACTGTTAGGCAAGCACCAGCTGAGAGAGTGTCACCATCTCCACCAACTCTCCCGACACACCAACACTACCACTTTCACCGCCAACGCTGTCATAGTCTCATCACCATCACCACCCTCACTGTCGATCACTATACCATCACTATCACAACAGTCGCCATCATCATCATCATCATCACTCACAGCAATCACAATGACCACCATCACTATCATCACCCTCGCCCTCACCACTATCACTATCACCATCATCACAGCACACCCGATCGAATGTCACCCCATCCGGATCCCCCCTCCCTCACCTCCCATCTCCCCCCCCCCCCACACACATCAATACCCATCCCACTAGTGAAACACAATTCCCCTCCCTCGGAGTTCCGATTAAAATTCCAGCATCCTGCCATTCAAGCCCTTGAAGCAAGGCCACACGCCCTCTCCTGTCACACTATATCCTCTTGACAGACAATATAACAAAAGAGAAATAACATTTACTGTCAAAACTAAACTTCTCCGGTTAGAGGAATGGATAATTGGGGTTTCTGAACACAGAGCAAAACTATGTCCTCTGTTTAATCAACCAAGTTGTACTATAAAGCGGAACATGGGGGAACTTTGCATATAGACGAGTTCACTCTAACACATCGCAGTAAATTCTCCTTAAAAATGGTAAACAAAAAGTTGATTAATTGATTGATTGATTGATTGAGTGCCTTGACGCGCCAACAACGAGAGTCCTGTTTCGTCATTGTGGCATAGCCAGGCAGGCTGACTGTAAGGACACTGTGACATAGACCTCTGGGCTCTGTGGTTGTCTGGTGACGTAGAATTTACTTCTGGGGTCTGTGGTTGCCTGGTGACGCGGGCACATCATTCCGACCCGCCTGTGTTTTGACATAACTGTGATGTACAGTGAAAAGGTACTCCCTGTTAATATTTGTCCTTATTTTCCTCTATATCTCTCTTCTCTCATTCATGTACTGGTATTCAAGCATGGAGACAGACAGGAGGCCTTAAGGCACAGACCAGTATCTCTGCCTTGCGTCCTCTGTAAAGTACCATTTGGGATTGTGTCAGATCTGGAGTTGACAAACTGAATCAGCGAGGCAGCATGAATTTAGAGGATGTGAGCCCTTCCTGCCAATACCTAATACCTAATATTAAAAAGAATAACGAGATAAAAAGAGCTGGGAGGATTGCATCTTTCTGGACTACCAGAAAACCTTTGATACCATTACCCATAAAAGGGAAGCAAAATAAGGGAGAAACAGGCTGCAATTATTAGAATGGTGCTTGACAGAATAGGAGAGTAACTAACAGGCAGGAATCACGGGGGTCATAACGAAAGAGGCAATCTTTGCGTAGAAGAACCTTGCACATTTGTGTGGCATTCGGCCCATGGACTTCTACTGTTTCTGGTTTACACGTGAATGACCTAGCAGAGAAGGTGAAATGATAAGGGTATAAACTGAAGCCTATTGCAGCGTACTACAGGAGGATGTAAGCAAGCTATAGAGCACTACAGGACATAAATAAGATGCAGGATACAATAGGAACTAAACAAGGTGTAGGATACCACAGGACCTACACAAGCTGCAGGACACTACAGGAAGACTTCAACAATCTGCAGGATAATACAAGAGAAACAAAGCAGGTTGTAGGATACTACAGGATGAGTTAAACAAGCTGCAGGATATTACAGAAGAGCTTAGCAAGCTGTATTATCAAGGGAACAGAAAACACAAGATGCGCATTATCTAAGAAACAAAGAATACAAGACGCATGCTATCTGAGGAACATGAAGTACAAGACGTGTAGTATCTAAGGAACAAGGAACAGTCTCTTTCTTTTGTGTTCTTGCTATATATCCAAATCTCCTCATGTCCTGATACCACTTGCTTTGCTTCTTTCTTCTCCTCTTCTTGCAGGCAATGAGTCACACTAACGTGGCTAAAGTATGTTGACCAGACCACACACTAGAAGGTGAAGGGACGACGACGTTTCGGTCCGTCCTGGACCATTCTCAAGTCGATTGTGACCTATCGACTTGAGAATGGTCCAGGACGGACCGAAACGTCATTCTCCTCTTCTTATTTCTTTTGGCTTACCTCTTCTCCTCTTGCTCTGTCTGTTGCGCATGTGTGACTCCTCTTTCTGTTGTTAAACTTCCTCATAACTGCCTTCTTCTCCTCCTTACTGGTTTCCTCTTCTTTCCTGATTCATTCATTCACCTCCTTCTTGATTCCTCATTCCTCTAATTAACGCCTCCTTCTCCTCCTGTTGGCTGCCTCCTCATTTCCCCCAGCTCAGAGATATATTTTTCTTCTAGCAAGAACCTTCCTCAGCAGGAGGCGTTCATCGACAGCTCCTGGTAAGATACGCTTCCTGATTGAAATATTCTTCCGACAAAAAAGTTTCCGCCGTACTCAAGGCGTCGTGATGAGGCTGAAGAAGATTACTGCGAGAGGGGAAATGAGAAGGGGACCCAAGGGGATCAGGATTTTAATGGTGGTGTCCCTAGTGAAGTCTTTCGTGGGTTGGAGGGGACCCTAGTGAGGTCCTTCGTGGGTTGGAGGGGGCCCTTATGAGGTCCTTCATGGGTTGGAGGGGGCCCTTATGAGGTCCTTCGTGGGTTGGAGGGGACCCTAGTGAGGTCCTTCGTGAGTTGGAGGGGACCCCCTAGTGAGGTCCTTCGTGGGTTGGAGGGGACTCCTTAGTGAGGTCCTTTGTAGGTTGGAGGGGACCCTAGTGAGGTCCTTCGTGGGTTGGAGGGGACCCTAGTGAGGTCCTTCGTGGGTTGGAGGGGACCCTTGTGAGGTCCTTTGTAGGTTGGAGGGGTCTTTAGTGACATCCTTTCAGCTGCTTGTTGACATCACCTGTTGTGATATTTACCTTTTGTTTGTCCATGTTTGACACACTCAAAGTTGTTTTTGTATTGTATCCCAAATGAATTTTTGTTGTTGTTTTACTGGTTATGTAAATTTGCAAGTGAAGAAAACTGTGGTAGCAAACCTCCCCTCAATTGATGGCTTGGAACTTATGCTTCATAATTACCTCCCTGGAGGAGCTTTGTTTTAGGTAGATACGTTTGCTTTTCACTCTACTGCGTCCACAATCTTGCAATATTCCCCCCCATTCGATGCTCACTCACTGCAGTAACAGCCTTGAAGTTTGAGATAATGCTCTTGCTTCCCATTTAATACGATGCATATAGCCCTTCCCCATTAGTCTCAACCATTTCCTCTTCTTGGCCTTTAATTTGAAGTAGTTTTTATTTTATACAGTGATGTATTAGTTCAGCATATTAGCCTACACCTACCCATTAGTGTAACATATTGCCTACACCTACCCATTAGTCCAATATATTGTCTCTACTCTGCCATTAGTCCATCACAGTGCCTCCAATCACCCATTACTATGATGCAGAAGCGTCTGTCTCGCCCATTATTTGAGACCATTAGGATCACATCTGTCGCCACCTGACCTAATTGACAGGCAGGTGCAGTTACCCCGCCCTGACTGTCCGCCCTGACTGTCTGCCCTGACTGTCCGCCCTGACTTAAAGTGGTGGTGGTCTTCTCCTCCACTCTCTCTCTCTCTCTCTCTCTCTCTCTCTCTCTCTCTCTCTCTCTCTCTCTCTCTCTCTCTCTCTCTCTCTCTCTCTCTCTCTCTCTCTCTCACCTAAGTTACCCATCACTCATCTGGCAATATAATGTTGCACACACACACACACACACACACACACACACACACACACACACACACACACACACACACACACACACACACACACACACACACATACACACACATACACACACACACACACACACACGCACACACACACACACACACACACACACACACACACACACACACACACACACACACAAACACACAAACACACACAGATGCATCGCAACTGAGTGGACAGCGTTCGGGGGCCAACCAAAGTCCTAAGGTCCCGGGTTCGATTCCCGGCCGAGGCAGAAACAAATAGACATAGTTTCTTTCACCTAATGCTTCTGTTCACCTAACAGTAAATTAGGTACCCGAGAGTTAGATAGCTGCTACCCGAAGATGTGTGTGTGTGCGTGCTTTAGAGAGAAATACAGGTAGTACACACAGCTCAGGAAGGATAAATCAGTTAGAAAGGAGGTGACCAAGAGCTAATAGCTCGATTATGCAGGCATAAACAGTAAACACATACACATACACACACACAGGCTCGCATTCTCGGACGCACATATACACATACATACATATACAAACATATATATATAGGAGGCGGGACCAAAGAGCCAAAGCTCAACCCCTGCAAGCACAATTAGGTGAGTACAAACTGGTACGGTGAGGGGGGAGGGGGGGGAGGCTACACACACACACATTGCATTATATTTCAGAGAAACGAAATTCTCATGAGCACCCAGTGTCATGAGCACCCAGTGCCATGAACACCCAGTGTCATGAACACCCAGTGTTATGAACACCCAGTGTCATGAACACCCAGTGTCATGAACACCCAGTGTCATGAACACCCAGTGTTATGAACACCCAGTGTCATGAACACCCAGTGTCATGAACACCCAGTGTTATGAACACCCAGTGTCATGAACACCCAGTGTCATGAACACCCAGTGTCATGAACACCCAGTGTTATGAACACCCAGTGTCATGAACACCCAGTGTCATGAACACCCAGTGTTATGAACACCCAGTGTCATGAACACCCAGTGTCATGAACACCCAGTGTTATGCAACTGTGAATGCCTGGCTTCCCCCTCCCCCCTTAGTATGAACACGAGGTCCCTCATCCTCCAAGAAGATAACAACAGTCGTCAAACCTCCGCTTACCCTCACCATCTCTCTGCTACAGTTGCTCACAGATCCCATAAAACAAACAAATCCATTCAGATTCTCAGTCCCCCCCCCCTCCCCACTCCTCCTCCTTATTTATACGAATAAAAACGTATTCCCAGCATCCGCTGGGAGCCTCGTCTCTGCACAGCGAGCCGTTGGTGAGAAGAACAGCCTCCGTCACACAGATGCCGGGTTGCACCTTGCATCACGTTCTCAGATGCATCTCCAGGGGATGCTTACCAGCACATCTCACATATTCTCAGAAAATAATTCATCTCCTTGGTCTGTCTCTTACAGTAGTACTTTGTTTTTTGTTTTTTTGGTAGTGGGGGGTGTATAAGGCCACCGACCTTCTTCTCTCCACCTCTCTCGTCCAACCTCGAACAAAGAGCATTTACATTTTTATTTATATAGAAGGGGGTATGCAGATGCACTAGGGGTCTTTCCCCCCCCTCTTTCCATCCTTTCCCTTTCACTCCCCGACCGTCCAAGTGGTTTGGCACCATTCCTTTCCCCGTCCCATCCCCTAATCTTTATCCTGACCCCTTCCAAGTGCTATATAGTCGTAACGGCTTAGTGCTTTCTCCTGGCAATTCTCCTCCCTTCACCCAGCACTGAAGGGGGATGGTCTGGTTGCTGCTTCAGAAGGTATATACACTCATACATTCGGGGGAAAAAAAAATATATATATCCAGTCCAGCCCGTCCTCCTAAGGTGCCCCAACGTCAAGAAACTGTCGTACTAAAATGCCCTTATCCTAACCTACTAGAGGACCCACGAACAGAAAACGGGACATTGTGTCAATTTCGCTAGCCGCTATATTTTTTTAGTACAACAATTTTCAGCCTTAGGTAAAGTATACGTCAAAATACGACGTGCTATTAGGAGGGCGGGTTGATGTCCGGTCAGCTTCTAATCAGTCCTCCCAGGAAGGTCTTTACCCAGCGGCATCCTCCTTAAGACGGTCCAGGAAGTTGTTTGTCCAGCAGATACCTAACCAAATGACTTAGGATAGGTTAGTAATCCTTCGTTACTGGAGTAACGAAGTTTCTCCAGCAGGTCCATAAAATGTGAGTGCCTAAAGTTGACATAATTAAACGTCCAGGCAATATCTAAGCCATCTAAATACATAACCCAACTCTCTCTCTCTCTCTATCTCTCACTCTCTCTCTCTATCTCTCACTCTCTCTCTCTATCTCTCACTCTCTCTCTCTATCTCTCACTCTCTATCTCTCACTCTCTATCTCTCACTCTCTCTCTCTCATTCTTTCTCTATCTCTCTCGCAGGTTCCTCAACAACAAATTCGAAGACACGTACACCCCGACCATCGAGGACTTCCACCGCAAGTTGTACAGGATCCGGGGCGACGTGTACCAGCTGGACATCCTCGACACCTCCGGCAATCATCCGTTTCCCGCCATGCGACGCCTCTCCTTCCTCACAGGTATGGGGACTCTCCCTCCTCACATATAAGGGTCTCTCCTTCCTCACAAGAAGGGAACTGTCCCTCACTGACAAGGGTCTCTCCTTCCTCACAGGTGGAGAACTGTTGTCACCAGCTGTAATGCTGCCAATTGTCTCCAGATATTTTAGTCATCCAAGGCCCAAAGCCCCACTTCAGCTCTAGACTGAGAGGCAGCTATGTACTGTAAGAATAAATTGACCTGTGCTCTATAAGAGGCATGTGTGAAACACCAGATGAGAGTTTAACAGTCGGTTTACTTAAATAAAACAGGTGCAGACATGAATTACAACAAGATCGGTTACTTCAAGAAGGGTGGTTGTAATTTAATATTCCAATATATAGGAATTATAACAAGGGGCGCCACGACAATTAATATAGCACTGGCGTAATTAGAAACACAGTTACATCTTCACCGTGCAGCCAGCAACATCCCTTTAAACAGAGTACACATGAGTATTGATTGATTGAGTGATAGAGATCAAGCCGCCCCAAGAAATGGCACGGGCATGAATAGCCCGTAAGTGGAGGCTGTTTGGAGCCATTACCAGTACCAGTAGCTGATACTGTAGATCTGTGGACATGAGTATTGTATTCAGAAGTATATTATCACTGGGAAAACAACACAATGTAACTAATTAATAAGTAGTATAAATGGCTGACATGTTAATCCTATCCCAACAACGAAACAAGGTATAGTTATCCAACAGTTAGCAGCCCCCCGAGTCACACCTTCCCACTCCATGAATCCACAACATTGACGGGATTTAAAGAGCTTCATGGGGGAGGGGGAGGGATCTCTGCCTGTAAATAACATGTTGCCAAATATATGTAATGACTTTTTCTCATAAAAAGTAGCCACAGAAACTGGTTATTGACAAGTTTTGAAGCTTCGAATAATCCTATAAAATATTCGTATCAACCTGTGAACAAAAATTGCAACATGTAATTCAATATTGGTATTCCTAAAGTGTAGACACCAAACTGGACGGTATTGTAATGTGGCAACTTTGCCTCAGGTCGGATAGAAATTTAACCGTCCACATATCGACTTTAAGAAATCTAAAATATACCTATTATTAAATAACATTAAACGAGTCTGTTTTTTTGCAAAAAATTATTTATATATGCAAGAAATTGCATACCCCCATGCAAAAACCAGAATATGCAAATTAATTCCACGTGCATTCTCTATTTTTTAACTACCCTGATGCAAGAATGCAAATTAAATAACAAGTCAACCTTGACTAAATGTTCTTATACATTATTACCGTACAGACTGCTAGACAAAATTGTTGCCGATGTAACAAATTACTGTCCAACAACTTGCTAACAGGTACTAAAATGATATTTTAAATTGAGAACGTGGGTACTAGCCCGTTCGTAACAAGGATTGTCCTCCCTCACAAGGGGGGGGGGGGGGAAGGGGACTCTCCATCCTCACAGGTGGGGGGACTTTCCTTTCTAGGTGACAAACTCTGTTCCAGATCCGTTCTTCCACTTACATTTGAAATCTATCTGACTTTTCCGCCTTATAACTATGTATTTCCTTGTTCCTTGCTGTGTTTGGGAACATTTACTAATAACTTCCCGGCGGTCTGGGGGGTAACTTTACTCTGAGGCATCCTGATGTATTCAGTTAATAGTTCAGTTGTCTTTTATTCAAGAAAATATCCCCTCTAAGACGTAAACATCTCTTGTTTGCTTTGAAGACGCCAATCTGCGCACCACAATCCAGAGCAATTCTTTTTTTTGTGTGTTTTTCTTCTCACATGCACCCGTCCACCCTCCAGTCTTATAGCCGAGTCGACGCCGGCCATTTTACGAGCTCACTATAGCCCGTGCTACCTCTTGGGTGGCTTAAATCTTCATCAATCGGTCGTTGTATCTCCCGTCGGTCGCTTGGTGACCCGCTGACTCTCTCTCTCTCTCTCTCTTGGCCCTCAACAGGCGATCTCTTCGTGCTGGTGTTCTCGTGGGACTCGCGAGACTCGTGGAACGAGGTGCTGCGGCTGCGAGAACAGATCATGGAGACCAAGCAGTCGGCCTCGGCCAACACGACCGGCAGCCGCAAGAAGCGAGCCGCCACGCGCGTCCCCATGGTCATCGCTGGGAACAAGTGCGATCGCGAGCAGCGGTGAGTGCTTGATTGCTTGCCTCTCTTGCTTGCCTTTCTACTTGCTTCCCGCCCTCTCTATACTTGCTTGCCGCCCTCTTTATACTTGCTTGCCGCCCTCTCTATACTTGCTTCCCGCCCTCTTTATACTTGCTTGCCGCCCTCTCTATACTTGCTTCCCGCCCTCTCTATACTTGCTTGCCGCCCTCTTTATACTTGCTTGCCTGCCTCTCTGCTTGATTGCATGCCTGCCTGCTTCTTTCACAGATTCCTCAGTCATCGCATATAACCCGTATTATATTATTATTATAATCTGGCCATATGTAAAACCTTCACACACTGTATCTCATTCGTTTCTCTCGAAGATGCTTCAGGTACTCTTCACTATCATTTCATGAACCTCTAACATGCAGCATCCGGACCGAACGATGCAGTTTAGGCCATATCGTAGATTATGACATAGATTATCCGGCCCGGACCGCTCATATGGGTTCCAAAATCCCATATCCTAACCCTTGTGGTCCGTATAACACGCTATATTCGGCTCTCATGGGGACCTAGATACCCTATATATCCATCCCCTATATTGAAATTTGGCCGTCTTATGTACTCCTATGGCAACTTTTATCCTGTTCTAATTATGTTTGTCTTCAGAATGATGCTATACAATACGCGATCCGATGATGCCCTAATAGTTAGTGCCCTGCCCTGGTATTCAGTGGTCTGCTCTAATGCCCAGTACCCTGCTTTAATATTCAGTGTTCTGCTCTAATACCCAGTACCATACCCTAATATCCAGTACCCTGCCCTAATACTCAGTGCACCCCCTTAATGTCGAGTACCCTACCCTAATATCCAGTGCCCTGCCCTAATATCCATTGCACCCCCTTAATGTCGAGTACCCTACCCTAATATCCAGTGCCCTGCCCTAAGAAACAATACCATTCTCCAACACAAGAAAGTGTCTCAGCACATCATAATATGCTCAAACACTGAGTGTCAGACTTCACAAGATAAAACTATTATGTTCTAACACACAATACCCTCTTCAATCCCACAATACCCTCTTCAAGCCCACAATACTCTCTTTTTAATAACTGATACCCTGCTCTAGCCCCCAACCCTACTCTAGTATACAGTACCCTGCTTTAGAGGGCAACTGACTGTTCTTGCATGTAATGTGCACAAATACATGTGAGAAATACACAAGACCATTCTCTGGCACAATGCCTTGTACTAATACGTAGCATACTTCGCCTCCCAAAGCACACGCACACACACACACACACACACTCACACACACGCACGCCCACACACCCACACACACACACACACACACACACACACACACACACACACACACACAGCTATACAAACTTGAGAGGCAGGCAGGAGTAAGCGGAAAGGCCCTAGTATGGGTAAGGAACTACCTAACAGGAAGGAGCCAGAGGGTAATGGTAAGGGGCGAGAAGTCGGACTGACGAACAGTAACGAGCGGAGTACCTCAAGGATCGGTGCTGGGACCAATCCTCTTTCTAATTTACGTAAATGATATGTTTACAGGTGTGGAATCTTCTTCTTCTTGAGAATAGGCGCAGTTTGCATGAAGGGGTAACCCTCCCGATGACTGCACCAGGACAGATGTAAGGAGACGCGTTGACGGTCAGGAGGAGAAGAAAGTCAAAAGCGGTAGATGTGATGGGCCGTAGAGAGAGGAGTGGCGACGAAAACAGAGGCGAACGTTAGAGGGAGACTCCCCGCACCGGGGGGCGGGGCGTCGTGATCACGGTGGCAGCTGATCCATGCACGGCTTAGCAGCGTGCGCAAGACGGGAACTAATACTTCTCCGGAAACTTGTGTATCGGAAAGCGCAAGCAGTACGCTTCCCATATCACCCGCAGGTCAGCGGGCAGCCGGCCACCAGGCGGCGCCCTCGGCTGAGACATCCTATCCGGCACCCTATACACAAACTCCTTCACCCGCGACACCCAGACAGTGGACGAGCACCACGGGATCGGAAGCACCCGGGCATCCCGATAAGGGCCCAACTCCGGACCCTCACAGGGCACGACCCCAGCAGACGGGACTAGGCAATCCCCAGACTGGAGCAAGGAAGGAGGGGATACAGCAGGGGACGCAGGCGCGGCACCGACCCCACCACCGGGCACAGGAGCCGAGGCCCTCTGGCGCACATCTTTCCGCAACATCACGACGAGGTCCCGATCAGCAGGGACAACCCCCCACTGCGGAGATCCAACAGCAGGAGACGCAGGAGGAGAGGCACAGGTAGCAACGTCGGAGCCCCTCACAGCACCACCATTCTCGGCGGGGGGCGCCAGATTACCATACTCCCCCACCTCCTCCCAAGGCACACCACGAAGGGGAGACACACTCCGAGCCCGCCGTGAACGCTTCGAGACAGGCCTCACCACACCACGCCCAGCAGGCCCCGCCGCAGGCACGGCCACCATCTTTACATCCACACAGGCCACACCCGCACCGTCCGAAGAGTCCACAGAGGCCACATCACCCACACTGTCCACATCATCCAGGGAAACAGCCTCAGAACACCGACGCGCACGCTTCTGCAAAGGGACGGAAAGAGCAGAACTACAGTCACCAACACACACAGACACGGCAGGCACCTCCCCCTGCCGAAGCACCCCCTCTAAAACAGCAGAACCCGCGTCCCCGGGAGCCGGTATCACATCCACAGGCGGGGGCGGGACATGGACCTCCACCGAGACATCCTTCACTACACGCAGCTCAGGCGACGGCCCGACACCCACACACACCGGCTCAACCCCAGGGGCCATAGCAGTCACCTGACGTGTCGCCGTAGAACTCGCCCCAACAGGCGGAGCAGCAGACAGGCAATCAGGCGCCTCAGGCACAGCACCTACTCCATCCTCAGAACCGTCCGAACGTAACAAGGGCGGGAAATCCTCTGCACGAAAAACATGCACCCTACCAGTTGCACCCACGTCGCACGCCGCAGCCAGGTGACCCTCGTGACCACACCGATAACAGGTGCGCGGTTGACCCCGGTACAAGCAGCGGAGCGTGTAACCCAACACGGACATCGACGACGGTACACTACACTTCAGCGACATCGTCAGGGTGCGGGAGCCGTCAAGCATACCAACACAGTGCCCGGCAACGACCTTGTTCCAACGAACACTTAACACGGTCCCAAATCGCTCAAAACAGGAGGTTAAAAAGTCGTCCTGAAATTCGAAGGGGGCACCATGCACCGCCACAGACGTCAAGGTGACACTAAGATTCACCACCTTAACTGAGCCAGCTGAATCAGGGAGTGGGTAAACACGCCCCTCACAACGCTCGAGAAACACCTGAAAGGCAGCCTGGAGGCGGAACTTTACCACAGCACGGTTGCCCTGAAGCAGCTGGACGCCCACCAGGTCCGACAGCTGCACATGAAGCACGTCCACCAGGGCGACACCAACCAATGGATGGTCCACCGGCACCGTAAACGCTAGACCAGCCGACAATGTCCTCTGCACTGGAGGGCGAGATGACCCCATGGCGAAGGCAAACGTCACCCTGTCAGTGGCAAACCACCACCAGCAGGGCAAACAAGCAATCACCCAACGTAATCACTAGCCAGTGCGGAGAGACCTCAGGAGCGTCCGACCTGGCCGGTGGTCACCACGCAACTCCCGGTGTGGAATCCAACATGTCAATGTTCGCGGATGACGCAAAATTAATGAGAAGAGTTGTGACAGATTAGGATTGTAAGGTCCTCCAAGAGGACCTGGACAGGTTGCAGAGATGGTCAGAGAAATGGCTACTGGAGTTCAGTGCAAGTAAATGATGAAAATGGGATCAGGTGATATGCGACCAAAGGGACAGTACACAATGAAGGGTAACTGCCTACCTGTAACGATTCGAGAAAGAAACCTGGAAGTGGACGTAACACCTAATCTAACTCCTGAGGCACATATAAATAGGATAACGACAGCAGCGTACTCTACACTGGCGAAAGTTAGAACTTCATTCAGAAACATAAGTGAGGAGGCTTTTAGGGCGCTTTACACTGCCTACGTGAGGCCAGTCTTAGAGTATGCCGCGCCATCATGGAGCCCCCACCTGAAGAAACACATAAGGAAACTGGAAAAGGTTCAGAGGTTTGTGACGAGGCTTGTTCCAGAGTTACGTGGGATAGGATATGAAGAGCGTCTGAAGAAACTGAAACTTACGACACTAAAGAAAAGAAGGGAGAGAGGAGATATGATAGGGACATATAAAATACTCAGGGAAATTGACAAAGTGGAAATAGATGAAATGTTCACACGTAATAATAACAGAATAAGGGGACATGGGTGGAAGCTGGAAACTGAGATGAGTCACAGAGATGTTAGGAAGTTTTCTTTTAACGTGAGAGTAGTGGAAAAATGGAATGCACTTGGGGAGCAGGTTGTGGAAGCAAACTCTATTCATACTTTTAAAATAAGGTATGATAAGGAAATGGGACAGGAGTCATTGCTGTAAACAACCGATTTCTAGAAAGGCGGGATCCAAGAGTCAATGCTCGATCCTGTAAGCACAAATAGGTGAGTACACACACACACACACACACACACACACACACACACACACACACACACACACACACACACACACACACACACACACACACACACACACACACACACACACACACACACACACACACACACACACACACACACACACACACACACACACACATACACACACACACACACACACATAGTTTTCACTGCATTTACCCCTCTTCAGCCCTCTCTAGCAGCCTCCTGGAGGGCAGGTCTAGGAAGCCCTCACCCCCTCACCCATCGGCACGCAGCCCAGGAAGAAGCGCAAAACCTCTCCACCGAAGCACAACGCTTTTATCTTTCAGTGTTTAATGCTTCAGCACGAGGGAAGGGATAGAAGAGGGGGGCGGGGGTAGGATTGGGGGGGGGGGGGGGACCTAGGATCTCTTTGGTATCAGGTCGATGCCAACGCGTGAGGTGCCTTGGGTAACAAGTGTCTCTCCTGAGGGTGCGTCGCGTTACGCCCTCTCTCCCTGTTGTGCCTGCTTGTAGGACACCTTGTCTATATATATTATATATATATATATATATATATATATATATATATATATATATATATATATATATATATATATATATATATATATGTGTATGTACCTAATATCCAGAAGGCACTACTTAGACTCGTATGCAAGGCCCGATTTGCCAAACAGGCAGAGTGATTTTAGTTATTTTAATGTTTTTTTTTCAAATTGGTGCATTTTTTTTGTATTAACATATTTCGGTACATCTGCATTTGTGCAGTTACTCTAGACTATTTGAAGGGGAAGTGCAATGTGTAAAAAAACTAGCTACATGACGCTAAAAATCCCCATCATATAAAACAGTGAAAGTCAATGGTCTCAGGCAGCCACCTTTTATCTCCACCGATTTCATGGGGTCGCCATGGGAGCCAACCGGGCACTTTTAATTGGGCAATGCGACCGACCTCACTTTAACGGAAGCAATGTAGTCGACCCGGACTTTCATATAGTGGTCGTTTTTCCTCCTCCCACCTGTCACTGGTGAGCCGTCAATACGAAGTTGGATGAGGCTAAGCCCCTAGTGTGTGCCCTCTATACTTTGACAGAGAAACAGGTAACACCCACTTACCTGTGTCTCACTGTCAGTACTGGCTATGTGAGACCGACGTACCTGTTTATCTCTAGGGAAGCAAGATTAAAAGGTAGTTATTGATTGGATGGAGGTCTCTCCCTCTCTCAGCAACGAGACAAAACCCAATATTCTCAATATTCGACTTGAGAATGGTCCAGGACGGACCGAAACGTCGTCGTCCCTTCAACTTCTAGTGTGTGGTCTGGTCAACATACTTCAGCCACGTTATTGTGACTCATCGCCTGCCAATACTCTCAGTACTGCACTAAAACCTTATAACCATGTTGACCAGACCACACACACTAGAAGGTGAAGGGACGACGACGTTTCGGTCCGTCCTGGACCATTCTCAAGTCGATCACTCCTTCCCACCTACTCCCTCATACTCCTTCCCTCCCACTCTTCCTCTCACTCATTCTTCCTCCGTCACTCACTGATTCACTCTGTACCGCAGGGGCGTGACCCTAGAGGAGGTGCAGGAGTTCGTCTCCTCACTAAGCTGTTGTGCGTACGTTGAGACGTCGGCTAAGAAGGACAGCAACGTCGACAAGCTCTTCTACGAGCTCTTCGTGCTGGCCAACCTGCCCATGGAGATGTCGCCTGCACTTCACAAGCGAGTGTGTCCCGGCCAGACCACGTGAGTGTATTTTCCCCTCCATGTACTCACCTCAAAGTTACTACACCAAATGTATCCTCTTTGATGTACTTTCCTACATGTACTCACCTAGATATACTCACGTAATATATTCACCTAGGTTTAGTCACCCAGGTATACTCAAATAGATGTAATTGCTTAGCTCTATTTACCTATATGTGCTAACCGAAATATACTCATGTAAATGTACTCAACTGTTAGTTCTCACCTGGATACACTCACCCTGACTTACTGATCTCTAAAGACTTAGCTAACCTACCTATGCTTGCTATCTATGTTCTATTTGGTTTATTGTAAATGTTTTCTTTTCTTTCACGCAGTCAATTTCTCTATATAATTAGAGTCGCAATGTTTCACTTCTCTTATTTATTTCTTTTCTGCCGTCGTTAGATTCAGCTCTTTCAGCCTTTCATGGGGGGGGGGGGGGCAAGGACCAGTTAGCTTCCCATTACTATTCACACTTCTCTCCCTTCAATATGAGTTTCTCTCTTGTGTCTGGTAGGTACTCCCTTGCCCATATTAGTGAAGATTGTGTACAGTAAGAAGCTTCATTATATCTTCACTACACTCGCGATCCTCACCCCTCAGGCTAATGACCCATTATGACACTAACCCCTCCATTATAAAATGGAACCCCCTTCCCCCCGCTCTCCATATACCTCATCCCCCAAGTTTCTTGTCACCCATATTAATCCCCTGAGCACCCTTACTCCTTAAATAGGTAATATCAGCTATTCTTCCCCTGCCCCTTCCCCTCCTAATCTTCTTTCCAGCGCCCCATTATATCCAGTCAAACACCTTAAAAATAATTCCTATTAAAACTAGCTGATGTGGAATTTCAACGAGGTTTTCATGAATTTCATGAAGAAAAGTGCAGTTGGCCGGACAGCCATTCTCTCTTTTTTTAAGGTAATTTAAACTAAAGTTTGTTTTCATGACACTGGTCACATTAGGGCGGATCGTGGGAATAGAATACTTGCCCACTCTGGAGTCTTTCTCTTTCATTCTCTTCATTCCTTTCTCTCATTCTCTTTATTCCTCTCTCTCACTCAACCTCTTTATCTTTTTCCCTTATTCACTTCTTTACCTCTCTCTCTCTCTCTGTCTCTGTCTGTCTGTCTGTCTGTCTGTCTGTCTGTCTGTCTGTCTGTCTGTCTGTCTGTCTGTCTGTCTGTCTGTCTGTCTGTCTGTCTGTCTGTCTGTCTGTCTCTCTCTCTCTCTCTCTCTCTCTCTCTCTCTCTCTCTCTCTCTCTCTCTCTCTCTCTCTCTCTCTCTCTCTCTCTCTCTCTCTCTCTCTCTCTCTCTCTTGTATGTATGTCTCTGACTTTTATTATTACCAAACCCTAAACCCTTCCGGTTGAAAATATAATTTTCCCCTAACCAATGCCAAATGGGAAGTTGCAGAAAGTTGCAAAAGATTTGCCGCAAGTTTCTGAGTATCTGAGTATAGGAATTAGATTGCCTGACGCCCTATTTCCGATGACGTGTCATCACACTGACGTAATCCCACGGTTTATTCACCTAGTTGCGCTTGTGGGAGTTGAGCACTGCTCTCTCGGCCCGGGTCTCAACTGTCAATCAGTCAATTGTTACTAACTACTGACTAACTTTTTTTTCCACACCCACACATACACCCCACAGGAAGCAGCCCGTAACAGCTGTTTTAACTCCCAGGTACCTATTTATTGCTAGGTAACAGGGGCATGAGGGTGAAAAAAAATGGCCATCTGTTTCTGCCGGCGCCGGGAATTGGACCCTGGTCCACAGGACTACGTATTAGTGTGCTGTCCACTCAGCCACCAGCGCCCTTATATGTAATGACGTCAGTGACGATGTGTGATGACGTCAGTGACGAGGAAGCCTGTTAGAATTACTGAGGTCCCCCTCGCCCAGAGTGTCTCATCCGGCTACTGGCCAGACACGGCCGTGCTTAACCTGACTGACATGTACCAAGTGACTCTCATTTGAAGATTGTTGTTAGTGTGAGGAAAATTTCTCACTTCTTTATAACGAAGGTTTACAGGTTTAAATGTTGTTTATATCCACAACATTTACGAAAGAGACGAGGAAGTGTGTCCAGGCTTGACTTGAGAATCGACTTGAGAATGGTCCAGGACAGACCGAAACGGCGTCGTCCCTTCAATTTCTAGTGTGTGGTCTGGTCAACATTTACGAAAGAATTCTACAAGGCAGATCTGGCGTAATCGTGGATCTAATCGTAGATCGTAGATCTCCCCTTCCCTCATAACATCTATGGCAATCTCGCCGCTGGCAAAAATAATCTCATTTTGAAGTCATCAGAGAAATTACTAACAACCCTCAGTCAGTTTTCCCGTAGAGTCCTCCGTCACGGAGATGGGACGCGTTTCCCGGTGTTCCATCACTGAGTGATACGGGATATCCTGGTAATTTTTATTTTTTATTTATCAGGGGAAAGCGCCAAGCCATTAGGACTTTATAGCACTTGGAAGGGGTCAGAATAAGGATTTGGGATGGGACGGGGGTAAGGAATGGTGCCCAACCACTTGCACGGTCGGGGATATCCTGGTAACAACACCACAGGTGATAGAGAGGCGGCCTCCTCGTCACCACGTCGTCCGCCGTGGACAATAAAAAACCTTACTAGACGTTTATTACGTCTATTACTAGACGTAATAGATACGTCTAGTATCTATTACGTCCAGCACAAAGATATGTGTGCAAATTTATTTTCAGTGTCAGAGTAGTTAACAAATGGAATGAATTAGGCAGTGATGTGGTGGAGGCTGACTCCATACACAGTTTTAAATGTAGAAATGATAGAGCCCCATAGGCTCAGGAACCTGTGCACCAGTTGATTGACAGTTGAGAAGCGGGACCAAAGAGCCGAAGCTCATCCTCCCCCTTCCCCCAGGTGTGTACAACTAGGTGAGTACCGAGAGCTGCGTACCCGTACATGTTCACTGAACATGTACTAAAGAGTCTACTTTAGTCCTGGACTAATATTCAGGACTAAACCATAAACTTGGCGGTTGGTCAGCAAACTTTTGCGGTGGCCTTATTAACCCTCCGGAGGTTGACAGGCCTTAAATTTCGGTATTTAGAGGACTTGATTTGTGGTGGAAATGTAAGGGTAGATTTGACGGAGTTAATGTGAGGAATTAGCAGCTAGCGTATTCCCCTCTTTATTCCTGAGGTACCTGGTTGATACCTGGTTGATGGGGTTCTGGGAGTTCTTCTACTCCTCAAGCCCGGCCCGAGGCCAGGCTTGACTTGTGAGAGTTTGGTCCACCAGGCTGTTGCTTGGAGCGGCCCGCAGGCCCACATACCCAATGTGGTGGATGAGTTTAGGTTTTTGGCGCCACCTTTTAACCTTCAGTCAATTGGTGCTGAGCCCATTAGGCTCTGCCATATATATACATTTAAAGATATATATGAAGCCTACCTCCACTACTCTACTGCCTTTTGGTATTAATTATGTTGATTATTATGACACAGTAAAATTTATTTCTGTTTCTTTGGCTTATTCGAGCATTTCGTTCCCACCAATGTCCCCCAATTAGTGTAGCACCCACGACAAGTAATATGTCCTTGTCTGCACTATGTATCCTCCGGGAATTTTGCATGTAGCGATCATATCTTCACCGATTCATCACTCTTCCGTGACGTGGTGTTACATTCCTTTTAGATTATCCTCGTAACTCATACTATTGTTCGGTGACATACCTCTGAACTTTGTCCAGATTAGTTATATGTTTAACGAAATCAGAGCTGCACGCTGGTGTCACATCTTCCAGAAATGACCTGAAATATGTGGTCCTGAACAACGTACTGATTAGGTTCATGAAGGAAGCTCCTATGTTGTCTGACTTTGCATATGCAGGTGGTGAAAGCCTTTATATGTGTGCACTGGGACCATTGGTAGATGTAGTGGCGTTTATGTGAGTACTGGTAAGAATAGTGGCGTTTATATGAGTACTGGTAAGAGTAGTGGCGTTTATATGAGTACTGGTAAGAGTAGTGGCGTTTATATGAGTACTGGTAAGAGTAGTGGCGTTTATATGAGTACTGGTAAGAATAGTGGCGTTTATGTGAGTACTTGTATGAGTAGTGGCGTTTATGTGAGTACTGGTAAGAATAGTGGCGTTTATATGAGTACTGGTAAGAGTAGTGGCGTTTATGTGAGTACTGATAATAGTAGTGTCGGTTATGTGAGTACCGGTAGGTGTAGCGCTGTTCATTATAGGATGAACACACGTGGAGGTGTTCATCATCCTACCACTTCCACACAGACGTAAGTGAGACCCATTTAACTATATCAAAAGACCATTAACATTCCTAATTTAAACAACAACGGGCCTTCATACCTCACTAACATCTGATACCACTAATTAAAGCTCCGAGAGGGTGGCCTTTGTCCTCGTCCCAAGTGTCGTGTTGACACCTAACACAAGGGGTCGTGTTGACACCTAACACAAGGGGTCGTGTTGACACCTAACACAAGGGGGTCGTGTTGACACCTAACACAGGGGGTCGTGTTGACACCTAACACAAGGGGTCGTGTTGACACCTAACACAAGGGGGGGGGTCGTGTTGACACCTAATACAAGGGGGGTCGTGTTGACACCTAACACAAGGGGGGTCGTGTTGATGCCTAATACAAGGGGGGTCGTGTTGACACCTAACACAAGGGGGGTCGTGTTGACACCTAACAAAAAGGGGGGTCGTGTTGACACCTAATACAAGGGGTCGTGTTGACACCTAACATATGGGGTCGTGTTGACACCTAACACAAGGGGGTCGTGTCAACACCTAACTCAAGGGTCGTGTCAACACCTAACACAAGGGGGTCGTGTCAACACCTAACACAGGGGGTCGTGTCAACACCTAACACAAGGGGTCGTGTCAACACCTAACACAAGGGGTCGTGTCAACACCTAACTCAAGGGGTCGTGTCAACACCTAACACAAGGGGTCGTGTTGACACCTAATACAAGGGGTCG